GATGAAAGATCATATAATAGTAGTGTTATATTTAGAGATTATGTAAAAACATATTCTAAAATATTTAAAAAAGTGTGCTCCACTGCTAAGGCTTTACATTTAAGCAACAAAATTAAAACTGCATCCGACAAAATTAAAATGACCTGGAGAATAATAAATAGTGAAACGGGCAAGGTCAAACCGCGCAACTCGGATTTTCTATTGAATATTAACAATAATTTAACCCGATCTGATAAAGAAGTTGCTATGGCTTTTGAGAAACATTTTACTGATGTTCCTTTTTTGACAACAAAATCATTAAATTCTTCTCCTACTGTCGCCGAATCATTGCTCAAACAAAATGTAAAGGCTTGTTCAAATACTTTTAAATTCTATAGGGTACTGCCAAAAGATATCGTTAAATATTTTAAAACTATTGATGTTAAGAAAACGGCAGACTTATGGGGGATTTCCGTTAAAGTTATTTTATCTATAATAGATACATTAGCACCTTATCTAGCCACTATATTTAATATAAGCGTCGAATCTGGTATGTTTCCTGATTTAATGAAACATAGTAAAGTCATACCTATATTTAAATCTGGTAGTACATTAGACCCCGCCAATTTTAGACCAATTTCTGTACTACCAACATTAAGTAAAATTTTTGAAAAAATTATTTTAGATCAGATGTTAAGTTTCTTTAATATTAATAAATTGCTACATAATAATCAATTCGGTTTTACAAGGGGTCGCTCGACAACTGACGCTGGAGTTGAGCTTATTAAACATATTTTTTGTGCATGGGAGAATTCAGAGGATGCTTTGGGTATATTTTGTGACCTTTCCAAGGCCTTCGACTGTGTTCACCATGAGACATTAATCAGGAAGCTACAGTACTATGGTGTCAAGAACACAGCGCTTAAACTTATTATTTCATATTTAAGTAATAGAAAACAGAAGGTTATTATCAATGGTAAAAGTTCTTCCGGGTCACCTGTACTAATGGGTGTACCTCAGGGCTCGATTCTCGGCCCATTCCTGTTTCTGGTGTATATTAATGACTTACCTCACCTTGTAGGGGATAGTCATGATATAGTATTATTTGCTGATGATACTTCCTTGATTTTTAAACTTAAACGTCAATCATTTAAATGTGACGAAGTGAATAATGCTATATCAAAATTAGTGCATTGGTTTAACGTTAATAATCTGCATTTGAACGGAAATAAAACTAATTGTGTTAAATTTACAACAACGAATGTTCAAAATCTGAATACCAATGTGTTTTTAAATGGGGAGGAATTGAGCCCTGTTGTATCCACTGTTTTTCTTGGCATCACTCTTGACGCAAAGCTCCAGTGGGGCCCCCATATATCCAAATTAGCATGCAGACTAAGTTCTGCAGCCTATGCTGTAAAAAAGATTAGAGGTCTCACTAGTGTCGAGACAGCTAGATTAGTTTATTTTAGTTATTTTCATAGCATAATGTCTTATGGGATTTTGCTATGGGGAAATGCGGCTGATTCAGAAACTATTTTTGTTTTACAGAAGAGGGCCATTAGAGCTATTTACAATCTAAAACCGAAAGAGTCTCTTAGAGATAAATTTAAAGAAATTAATATATTAACTTTGGCCTCTTAGTATATTTACGAAAATTTAATGTATGTTCACAAAAACAAAGATAGTTTTAGTAAAAGAAGTGATATACATTCTGTAAACACTAGGAACAAACACAAGCTAGTGATACCAGTTTCTCGACTCCACAGAATCAGTAATTCATTCTTGGGGCAATGTATACGCTATTACAACAAGGTCCCGGAAAGTGTACAGGTTCTCTCTATTACCAAGTTTAAATGTTTTATTAAGCTGAAACTGTATAAAAAGGGTTATTATAGTATAAATGAATACATGGTTGATAATAACCCCTGGGAATGAGGTGATCGCTTCCAAGCAGTTTCTAAAATAAATTTTGTAAATAGTTCGTAATCATTTATATTGTAAAATTTATTTAAAAAAAAAAGTCCCGCTGGGTTTCTTGCTGATTCTTCCCAGGATAGAGGGTTTTTTTCGAACCAGTGGTAAAGTAAAAAATGACTTTCAATAAGAATTACACATGTAATGTATATTGAATAAAAAAATATTCTATTCTATTCTATTCTATTCTATTCTATTCTATTCTTGATTTAGAATTAAAATGCAGATGCCTTGTCCTCACAAAACAGTATGATTAAACTTTTTAAAAAAACAAACCGACTTTAAAAGAAAGAAATAAAAAAATCAATTTAATAGCTTCTAAAGTCGGCGCTTGTATTCTCACACTACTACATACTGTCTATCTCTAAGACTACAATTATTATTTGATCTATAGATTGTGTTTAATTCTACGCACTATCTTAAAACTACACAAGAATGCAAGCTATTGAACTTGTAAGTAGATACACTATCTTAGCACATTTCACGTGTAAATTATTTTAATATATTTAGTGATTAGAAATATGCTCTGCGCTTTTTTAAATTAATTAATAGACCCTTTTTAATGGACTGGGGAATCACAAGCTCAAACCAATAACTAGAATATCGTCCATTACGTTAAAACGTCATCCCTAATTTTTCCTCCTTTAGAAAAGCAATTTTTGCTTTATCAAATATTAATGTAAGCAGTAATATATAGTTGTAATTTAAATGGGACCACACCTAAAGCATAACCAAACTTAAAACAAGTGGTTAATTTAAAATTTTGTACATACGACTTCAATATGAATATAATTTACTGTTGATTTTTTAAAAACCCCTCTACCGTTTACGATAAAACTTAGTTTTTTTCTTTTTTAAAAAACAGACTAGGATTTTCTCCTGTATCGTGGAGGCAGTTTACAAACACAAATTGCACAAGAACAAACATCCAGACCCGGAACAATAATTTGTAGGCCATACAAATACTTGTTCCGTGCGGGATTCGAACCCGCACGTAAATGGAACCACTTGGGAAGGAACTTATACCCATTGAAAAAAAAAATCCAAATCGGTTCACGCGTCTTTGAGTAATCGGTGAATATACATATAAAAAAAAGATTCTGACGAATATTGAGAAACTCGTCCTTTTTTGAAGTCGTTTGAAAAATAAGTATTTAAAATCGGTTTATATTTGACGAAGATATCACGTAACATACGAGTACATGCAAAAACACATACAGTCGAATTAATTATCTCCAACTTTTTTTGATTTCGGGTATAATATTGATAATTGTGGAGTTTTTATTTAGAACTTTCAATATTCTACTAAAGTTTCATTTTTTATTCAATTAACTTAAGACATCTTCTGTAGTTAATAGAGCAGTGAACAAATTGATCGGACTCAAACGAGCCTTCTTAACAGCATCCACTCTGAACGCAAATCGTCGTTACAGAGGACCGGTTCTCCAGCCTCTAATCATGAAAATGTATTTATGACCTAATTAAACTTCTGTCTACCCTCCGAGTGAGCGAGGCAGCAATGAAGCACCGTAACAAGACGAAACGAGACAGCGGATGACCCGGGCCGGTGATTAACGAGCGTTATATGGCTGGTTAAGTACCGTGTAATTTGCAAAACGACCCTTAATTACCTCTGAACACGGCTACCATCTCCGTCCTTATCGAACGGAGAGAAAGTTCGTGTGGCGGAAAGAGATAAATAAAAGTTGGCGGGTGGCGCTTTAAAGGCGGTATTTAATGAGGCATTATTATGTCTGCCGTGCAGATTAGGTTCACATGGCGCTGAAAATTGTTTACCCGCTCTTTATATTTGGTTTTGTTCGAGACAAACAGATGTGCCAGCCAGTGTGTTTATCTGTACACCTTCGCTTGAATACAGAATTCGAAATTACCAAAGATATTTATATTTAGATTAAACAGAGATTATAACACACATATGTCGTTTTGGTACTCCGAAATAAACTGTGAATACTTTTTTTAAAGAATAAGGGTGACAAACGAACACACAGTCCACCTGCTGGTAAGTGGATACAGCGGCCCACAGACATCTAAATCTATCCTCGATTAAGAATCAAAATGTTGATGCGTTGTCACCCGTGAGAACTAAGATGGAATGCCTCGTTTCCAGTAAAAAGAGTCTCCGGTTCTCACCATACGAAACCCACGACCAAATTTTACGCTGTTATTCTGTGAGAGCGTGGGCCTACCCATTCGTGCTATAACCATAATATAGCCGCATTCATACAAAAATTGTACATTACCATCCAATGCTATCTGGTTTTATTTTATTTAAGAACCAGAGAAAGTAGACTAAGTTGGTGTAGATTTAATTATTTGTAAGGACTAACGGGAATCATGTTAGCTTAAATACCTCATGGTATCCAATCTCGCCTTAAAATTTCGTTGTACGGGAATAAACTGAGTTTGATTCTCGCCCGACTACAGTGACATTGTAGATTAATTAAAACAATATTTAAGTAGCGATTTACTACGTGCTCGGAAAACGCTCGAAACAGAAAGAAAAGATCATAAGTTAACGTGCATGTCGAAGGAATCAAATATTTTATTATATCAAATCATTTCAGAAAGGAAGAGTAGAGAAGAGTATATAAACACCGCACTGCTCCATATCATGGTGGCAGTAAATTGGACACAAGTTTCCTGACGATATCTTACTTCTCCGCCGAGCATGTATATTACAAATCAGCACTTAAAATTGTATTAAAAATTCAAACACGAGACGGGCCTGAGCTACTATAACCTAGTTTAACCTTCAATTATACCCTATATCTAAAACAATCATATTTATCACCACATAACGGAATCTTTTACTGGAAACGAGGTATTCATCTTAGTTCTCATGGCATGGGTGACAATGCATCTGCATTTTGATTCTTAATCGAGGATAAATGTGTCTATGGGATACAGCATCCACTTACCTTCAGATGGGCTGTGTGCTCGTTTGTTACACTTATTCTATTAAAAAAACGATTGTGTGTAATTAATATCACCATTAGTAAATCATTTAATTTTTTTTGTCGCAGGTATGGTTTCAAAACAGAAGAACAAAATGGCGGAAAAAGCATGCCGCCGAAATGGCAACGGCAAAGCGTAAACAGGAAGAGCTTGGTGAGGAATGCGACGAACAAGAGTCCCACGACAACGATCCCTGCAGCGACGAAGATGATGCCAAGAGGCCCAGACTCGACCTCCATCTTCACCACATACCGCACCACCGTCAGTGATTGCGTGCGCCCACCGTGGGCGATACAGAACAAACTTTGACATGTGAACCCAGTGATGTGAAGTTATATCATCGAAACCCTTCAGTTGATACGGGTGCAAAAATAGACCACGATCCTAATCGTTACATTAATTACAATTACGATCATTCTTTTTCAAGAATGTCCAATTATAATGTAAATGAGATGCCGTGCGATTTATCTAACTGGCAACTTAGGAGTATGGATAGAATTGAAAACAATATGGCGGACGAGCGCGAAATCGCGAACGCTAGTGGCTCGTTGGATAGTGAACAGGATAATTTTAATAGTGATAATGCCGATGATAGTCAGCCGATAAATTTCGCGTATTACCACTTTTAAGAAAGCTACAGATAGTACACAGAAATATATTTCATATTATATTATTATTTCACGGGAATAAATATATATAGTACTTTTTGGTATAAAAGTTAGACAACAATCCCATTTAAAACAGTAATTTAAAAAAAAAAACTCGACTGCATAAAAAACTTTAAGTATTGAAAAAAGAAAACTTTTACAGCCTATGTCACTTCTACAATTAAGGCTAATCTAATGACACCTCATGTTAAAATTAATCAAGCCGTTTAGGATGCAGAGCGTGCCAAAGTTATATATGTACGTATATACTCTCGAAAAACATTGACCTATATCTGTGGCAATCGGGTAAATACAAAACAAATACTAAGCCAAGAAAAACAGTTGCTATAATTAAGATTAGACACATGATTTAATCATTCTCTATTCGATTTGATAATTTTGAGTACTGTCTGTACCATTTACTAATTTAACTATAACATGCAGTGTACTGTGTAAATGTAACTTTTTACTTCTATTTGTAAATATACGCATAATAGTAACGCCATATGTGTTAAGTAACTTATTATAGTTAGTTAGTTTTTACAAAATACCATATAGTTAAAAATATTAAGTAGGTTTTTAATGTACATTTGAATGGAAAAATTCCCGGTGCCAACTGAAACCATTGCAAATAAATAAAATATAATTTTCGAGCAATATGCTAGAAATACGCAAGTGGAAGTTTTTAATTTAACGTTAGTTATATTTGTAAATATAAAAATAGGGTGCAAAATTCATATTTGTTAAAGCATACTGCAATGTATTGTATATTGTACGAAATAAGGGATATAATTGTAAATAGATATTTAAACGAATTTAATAAATACTTTATTATAACTACTTGTAGCGATCGCCACGCAAAATACTATTTCGTTTTATTTAAGTGTTTTTGTTTGTTAAGAACTTGCAAATATTGTCTGTTACACCTGCCACAGAGCAGTTTCACTGTGAATTGTCTGTGCTACTCTATACATTCAATCTTTGTAAATAGCAAGATATTTCGTTTAATTTGTGTATTTACTACAAATTAAAGCCATTATTTTAATAAATAATAATTAATTAAATTATGAAAACCATTTTCTAACGTTAGATATTGTTACCAAAAGCCCTTGACACAACACCTTTTACCTTGTTAATGAAACAAGTTATTTTTTAATAATATTTATTTTTCAAAAAAAAAAACATAGAGGTGTTTTCATGTGCTATGCGAATAATAATACCTAATTAAATATATTCTTATCCTAATTTCATAATAATACTTTAATAAATTACAAGCAACACCTTATTATGTGACTATTTGTTAAAACGGAACAACCTACATAAAATTACCTTATAGATTTATTTGTATGTAATTACTGCATGTAATTATTAAATGTTCAAGCGACAGAATATACATACATACAATACAAAAAGGAAAATGATATAAAATTATTATTATGTAACAAGCCGTACTTGAGCGTGGTCGATCAACGTAATGTGGTTGAAATAAACGGTTAGTAAAAATATTGCTAGAGTATTATTTGCCGCCTTTTCAGAAAGAAAAGTAAACTGTTTTTTTTTTTATTTATTAATTAACTAAAGGTGACAAACGAGCAACGAGCTGATGGTAAGTGGATGTTGTGGTCCATAGATATCTAGATTTACCCTCGATTAAGAATCAAAATGCAGATGCCTTGTCACCCCTGAGGACGGGCTCATTCATGCTACAACCATAAAATAGCTGCAGCGTGGCTCCGCTACGTGAAAATACCACGCACCTCTGAGGCTGCTCTCCGTCACCGGTCTGGGTATTTATCTGATGTGAGCTGGATGGTTATTGCCAATCGAAAGAGAAAATCTTTATGAAATTTCACTCGGTCGCCTCTTAGGATACCTACGGACGAAAAGGGGTTAAGGATTCTGCTGCCGTTGCCACTTAAAAACGTTTAATTAGTTTAAAATAATTAACTTAACTCCTTTTTTATATCTATGATATTGAATCATTAAATTAAACAAATTTTCCGTTCACCGAACCTCCGGATATCTACAGTATACATCTCCAAGATCGTCTCAAACATTACATCAGATTCGATGGACCACAAATCCTCGCAAAAGAACACCGAGTCATGCCAAGGATGATTCGAGAGTCTATTGTAATCCAAGCCTAAAGCACTACTGCAAGACTTCAAATGTTGATGAAGGTAGCCTTCGTTAACTATGACATCAGGACGTCAAACAGCTTAGTCCATGACCAGTGACCATGGTGTAAAGCGCCCGAATCGTCGGGAATGAAAAAGTTTATAGCTGTAAAATTAGTTACATTTAATGTGTAGTATTTGCGTAAATTTAAGAAATCATCATATTGAATCAATTGTGCTCAATATAGTGAGACCTTATCACAGTTGTTATAATAGTTTACTAAAATACGTAATACAAAAGGCTTGATTAAAAGCGAAAGTAACAATTTATGAATTAACATATTATACTAATTAAATGCCTTCCAGTCTAATTCGAACATTTTCATTAATACAGTCTATTCTTATTACTAAATGTAGATTTTCACCGTTACTGCTTTGACCCAAAAGTAGCAGGAAAAGAAAGACAGTAAAGGACCACGCATATTTGGGTGCTTCAACAACTAAAGCCAGGTCTACTTATGATGTACACACAGGCATGCACAGGCGTGTGTTAAGTACTTGTACCTATATTAAGTATGGATGCCCATTTCGACTCTAACGTATCACCAGCCGTATCAAGTCAAGAAACGCGTTCACAATCACCCATTACTTAGTATCACATTAGCGTATCGATACAACAATGTTTAAACGAGGACCCTACAAATTCATCCGATCCTAGTATCTCAACACCTCCCAACTTTACAAGACCACGTAGCGGCGTGCAGTATCCTCTTTGATGATCAGAGTAACACCGAGACAGATTACAGTATCAAAACATCACAAAACATATTATCCGATACGAGCTTCATCACATACGGAGTTCTGTACGGAACGGGAAATATTAGATACGGTATCACAATGGCATACCGCATAACCGCCAATAATTTTGCAAACAAACTAGTTATCATGATAACGTATACTCGTATCATGCGCTACTCTACGGAGATATGTGGTAGTGTCAAGCTGCATTTATATTATGGTTGTAGCACGAATGAGCTAGCTCGGCCGGGGAAGGACTACGCTCTCGCAATATACCTGTGTACCAGTATACTTTCAGTGTAGAGTACCGGGGACTATTTGCACAGGAAACGAGGCATTCCATCTTAGTCCTTAGGGTTGACGAGGCATCTGCATTTTAATTCTTGATCGAGAATAGATGTAGATGTATTTGTGTTAATTTAAGTGGATGCACTTACTACACGACTGAGTGCTCCTTTGTCATCCGTATTCTATAAAAAAGTATACACCAAGATGTGAAGCTGGCCTAACTCAGAGGCGACGCCATCGCTACGCAATATATTCGGTCAAAACATTTATCGAATCGATGAGTCTCTTTACATGAAAGGCATTATAAGGCGTAGAGCATAATTGAGCCTTTTTATGGTAAACTGTCTAGTAATCTAGTTTATAGGATACAGTTTTATATGTATTATATTGTTACAAAAATTACTCTCATATTTATGTCTGATGGCTCCGTGGCGCAGTGGCTTAGCAATAAATTGGAGCGCTAAAGGCCGCGGGTTCGAATCCCGCACGGAACGAAGACGAAGAAGTCGGTTAAAAACGTAGTATTACCTGTTTTTATTATAAAAAATACACGATTTAATAATATGCCAGACTGAAAAGATTATTGTCACTATCCTATATCCATAACTTAAAATGTATACTCTCGTTAGATAACGGCTCAGTAGCGTAGCGCCTAAGCGCTTGAATGCGGGTTCGAGACCCGTACGTCAGTGTTTGTATGGCCTACAAATAACTGTCCCGTGTCTGGATGTTAGTCCATGTATAATTTATGTATGTACACTTACGATATAAGAGAATATCTTCGTGTGCAGCGCCCCCAATTAAATGAAAACTAAATCAAAGCAGAAAAGGAGCAGGAAAGGTCACCTCTCTGAGCGCTTAGATAGAAGTATCACAGCTTACAATTAAGCTAACACTCGATACCCTTCAAAATTGAACACAAGAATCCATCCAGCACTGCTATGTGGCAGAAATTTCTAAGGTGATGGATCTGGAAGAAAACCAGCTCTACCAAAATTTGGACAAATAACCACCAATATATATCTATACAAATAAATAAAATTGAAATGTCTGTTTGTAATATCAAAATAACAGTTTTTTACTAAATGCATATGAAAGTATAAAGAGTACTTATACCAAGAATACAATTTTTATACAACATTTATTTATATCTTTTGGAAGATAGCTAATGTTATAAGAAGTAATTTAGGCTACTTTTGTTTTAGAAAAATAATTAGGGTTCCGCGCAAAAAAAACTCCCGTCAAAATCGGTTCAGCCGTTTAGGAGATTAGCCGGAACAAGCAGACAGACAGACAAATTTTTTTTTCTTGTCATAATTATCGTATATACTTTCATGTGCATTTAGTAAAAAGCTGTCATTTAAACATTACAAACATCAACAAAGACCATTTATTCCAGCTTTTATCGATTTGTCACAA